TCGCCTCTGCTGCCCGCGCCGCCTCTCGCCTCTGCTGCCCGTGCCGCTGCCGCTCTGGCCCGCACTGCCCGGCCGAGCGAGCAGCCTGCGGGGACAGCACGCACAGGCGGCGGCGGCGGCGGCTCCAGCAACGCTCGGCGGCGGCCCAACAGCGGCACCCGGAGGCGCCGACACGACACTGCAGCCGCCTCACGGCCGCGCATTTATACTGCTTTGATACCGGGAGTTCTTAGAGTAAAGTTTTTAGGGAAAAGTCTCATCATCTGGTCAGCCCACATATGGTTAGTATGATCAGTTGAATTCTTTACAAAGATTTCTGAGAATTTATACACAAACCCAAAACCTCTATCTGACTTCATCAAGGTAGGAATTTCTGTGCTGTCCTTTTCAGCAGCTTTGCCAAAACTTTACGTTAAGAACTGATCCCCAGAGCACCTGAAGGATCACTGAGGTCTCAAGACGCAAGTTAAGCAAGTTGCACTGATTTCAAAGAGCTACTAGGTCACTGTCAACTGGACTAAAGTAATTTATCAAGCTTCCGATCTTTTTTGTATCAGAACAACAAAAATCCTTGACACGTACTAAACCAAAGAAGACAAATCAAACACTTCCCACTGTCTCACGTGTGGCTGGTTATTCACCGCTGTGACACATCCAGCCATGTGCAATGTAGGAAATCACACAGAGGCACACAGTCGTGTAGTCCTCACAGACACAAGAATAATGACCAGGTAGGGAAGATTGGCCAGTATTGCTGTACACTCTGTACAATGTTCCAAAGCTTGCCAGAGGGGGATCAGAGGGAACTGCTGCTATGTACTAATGCTCCTTGATCTTGTTTAATGCTTGTTACCCACTCGGAGTCAGGAAGGAGTAAGGCTGTGTGCAAGTGCCCTCCGCAAAGTCCTTCTTGCAAAGCAGAAGCTCAGATCTCTCACTCATTTCTGGTTATTAATAAACAAATCCAAAAGCTGTGACTGAGCCCTCTGAGGGAAATACTGGATTCCTGGAATGTACAGGTGCTTTGCCAAGTCTCTGCCTTGAAAAATAACTTCCCAGAGCACACAGAGGTCAGAAAGGTCTGAACACACAAGCATGGTGCTAAAGCTTTACTTTGGACTATATAGTAGGAGAGTTCATTTCTCACCAGTTCTTGTGAATTTTACTGCTTTGTAGCCTGATCACCTCTTATGATTATGAAGCTGTAAGTGTAAACGCTTTATCAAAGGACTGTATCTGAATACAAGGACTTGGGAAAGACTTGATTTTATCTTCTATTTAATTTTCTTTGCACCTAACATCCTTTTTTTCCTCTTGTGGTTCTCAAGGGAATTCAGTATTTGCTGCAAAATACTCAGCTACAAATGCAAAAGAATAATCTACATGTGGAAAACATGAATCATGACCCTCCAGGAAACAAATTCCTAAGGGAGATCAAGGACAGAAACTGTAATTACTACTTTGATGAAGTAATTACTACTTCCTCAAACAGTTACAGGGACATAGAGATGGAGAAAGGAGGTTTCACACAGGAATTATAAGCCATTTAACCTATATATCGTCATTCCAATCTCTCCTGAATATCTTGTAGATTTGCTTCTGACAGTCATGATTGACAAAGACATCTCATGAGAGGATAATGCATCATGGTCATGCCTAGAATGGAAATATATTTGCCTGCTCACCATCATTCTGAGAAGAAATATAAGCATTCAAAAGCACAGGAATAATAACCAGACAGACTAAAAGAAGAGTCGTCATCCAGCAGAGATGTGTGATTGAGCTATTCACTCAAAAGAATCTCTCTTTCCCTCTTTTATCTCACACACAGTTGCACAAAGATGCAATTTTTTCTACTGTCATATGTACATATATTCACCCATAACGACATTAAAAGACAAATGTACCCCCTCACATCTTTCCTTCCACATCTGATGTAACATGAGCCAGAGGCACTAACACATAATGAAGTACTCAACAGAACTCATCCATTTTTCTACTATGTGGCCTGTTCATTTCCCATAGAACTGAAGCTGCATGTTTAAAGGATTTATAATCGGCCTGTTTCTCAAACCATGTGTTCTGAGAAGGTAGAACAGATTCTGTTTTACCTTCTGTTTCTTCTTTTTTTTCTCACACAGACAGTTTTAGGTGGCTACAGTAAACATTTGCTACAAAACAACTCACAAATTCAAATGCAAAAGCACTTTCCAGAAATGGGGGAAACAAACCTTCCAGGAAATGAAGGCCTGAAAGAGTGTTACTACAACTGTGAAGAAATTCTACTTTACAACATGACAGGTATATATAATTTGAACAAAGGTGGTTTCCCGCAGGAATTGTCAGCTGTGCTACCCATAAATCATCCTTCTAAATGCAGAGTTATTGTACAAATGCTCTATTATCAGAGGACTGCTGTTGTGTTTCAGGATAGGGAAACCAAGATCAGAAAAAAAAAATGGCACAGGCCTTGGCATCAAACATGAAATCAAGCCATTGCTCAGCCAAAACCACATTGACCCACCTGATTTCCTGGTTCAGCCTCTCACCCTCCTTGCTCTGCATTCACAGCCTTTAGTTGCACCATGGACAAATCCAGCTATTGGTCATGTATTGGCCACAGATGAAAAAGCATTTCATTTGGTGATGTCTTATGGAAACATCAAGTATATCAAAGTATTTGTTTTGGCAGCTGCAAACCTTGAAAGTATGTATGGATGAAATCCAGTATTTAGGACTCAGTAATTACAGCCCTGCAGGGTTTCTACCCTCAGATATACATTGACATCTCCCTAGACCTTCACTTGTAAATAGGAGATAGAAGAGGAATGGCAAAATGTACTGTCATTAAGGATGAAATAATGAGAAATAGCTGCAGCAAGAGCCCAGAGGAACCATGCCTGAAAAAAAATCAATCCATCCTACTAGTGCTAACATTTCTGCAGCAGCCTTCCTCCAAAAGCTGGGATGACAGACACTGAAACTTCTCTCTTCATGCTCTCCTGTTCTTTATGTAGAACAAACATTAATTTCTCAATTCATGGAATCACACACACGTGTTTCCTTCAGGACTTCCATTATCAAAACAACAATAACCAACAGCCATCTCTTCAATGCTATCAACCAGTGCCAAGTGCATCCCGATCAGGAAAAGTATTTACAAAGGGAAAAAAATCTCACTGTAAATCAAAATTATTTAGGTTCATAGTACCTAGCTTTGCCATTTTTCCTTGCAGCAGCTGAATCACCTGAAACTCTCCAGTGAGCCTAAATGTAGGATGAAAAAGCTAGTACTGTGCCTCAATTCCTGCTCTAGATGAACAGGGTTTTATACTCTTCCTGCTTTCATTCCTTTATGAGACACAGCACTTTCCATCCTCACCACCCAAAGAAACCCAAAGGAAAGTTGCAGAATTTCAGAAAGGTTCCAAGGCAACCGAGAGCGAGCACAGGTTTATAGTCATGTGGCAGAACAGTGTCCATGGGTGGCTATCCTGTGCTAATGTTGGGGCTCCACTTCCCACAGGTGTCCCCACTGAAAGAGTCCTCTGCAAGCAGGAAGACCATCATCATTCTACATACACAGTTCATCTCCTTGTTGGAGACCTGCCATTGCCTTTCAGGACGGGGAAAACAGGATCACAGCAGGAATGCACAGGCCTTGCTACCAGACACAAAATCAAATAATTACCCAGCCAAAATCACATTGACTCACCTGTTTTCCTGGTTCCAAGTCAGTCTGTAACCCTTCCTGATCTGCATTCACAGCCTTTAGGCGGAAAATATCCAACTATTCCTCACATTTCAGCCACATGTTCTTTTAATTCAGTGCCATTTTATGGGAGCAGAAGTACATCAAAGTCTTTGTCTTGTGTATTGGGTTTGAGTGGCAAAGTTTTGGTGGCAGGGGGACTACAAGGATGGTTGCTGTGAGAAGATGCCAGAAGGTAACCCTGTGTATGACAGAGCCAGTTTTGTCTGGCTCCAAGGTGGACCCACCGCTGAACAATTCAGCCCTGGTCACAGTGCCTCTGTGGTGACATATTTAAGAAGGTTTGAGACCTGCTACACAACGGCAGCCAGGAGAGACGAGTGAGAATATGCAAGAGAAACAGCTCTGCAGACACCAAGGTCAGTGAAGAAGGAGGTGCTCCAGGTGCCAGAGCAGATACTCCCCTGCAGCCCCCGATGAAGTCCATGCTGAGGCAGGTTGTCTCCCCGCAGCACACAGAGGTCTGTGGTGGAGCAAATACCCACCCTGCTTCCTGGGGAGGACCTCACACTGAAGCAGGTGGATGTGCCCTGAAGAAGGCTGTGTCCCTGTGGACAGCTCATGTTTTAGAAGGTTTTTGGAAGAACATGTGTCCCTGTGGAGAGGAGCCCGTGCAGCAGCAGGTCTGCTGGCAGGACCTGTGACCCCCGCAGGTCACCCATGCTGGAACAGAGCATTCCTAAAGGACTACACCCTGTGGAAAAGACCCCTTTTGGAGCAGATATTGAAGATCTGTGTCATGTGGGAAGGATTCAGACGGAGAATTTAATAAAGGACTGTCTACCATGGGTAGGACCTTATGCTGGAGCAGGGGAAGAGCATGAGGAGGAAGGAGTGGTCGTGATGAACTGACCCCAACCCCATTTCCAGCACCCCTGAACCTCTTGAGGGGAGAAGGTAGGAAATTGGGAGTGAAGTTGAGCCCATAAAGAAGAGAGGAGTGGAGGAAAGGTGTTTTTAAGATTTGGGTTTATTTCTCATTATCCTGATTTGATTGGTGATAAATTGAACTAATTTTGTTGTTTCTCATTGTTCAGCTCTGACTTTTAATTGACAACAGATTAAATTAATCTCCTCAAGTTGAGTCCATTTTGCCCATGACAGTAATTGCTGAGTGATCCCCCCATCCTTATCTGCATCCATGAGCCTTTCCATATATTTTCTCTCCATTGTCCAGCAGCTTGGTGGGCACCTGGCAGCTCTCTAAGGTTAACCCATCACATCTTGGCAGCTGTCAGTCTTCAATTCATGGATAGAAACCACTTCACCAGCCTGATAACCTGTCAGTCTTTTACTATATGAATGTTTTCAGAACTACTATACAAAGAAGCCCAACTTTAGAAGTGAACAAAAAACCAGGACAATCATGGGAAACCTGCAAAAGTGTAAAAATCACATCTTAACATTTCAGATTGTGTCAATTGGAACAGGTACACAGACAAAGTAACTACTTGCTAATAAGTACACACAAGGCTCATGCAGGAGCTCACACTACTGACTATAGCCATAGTTCCTCAAAGGAATTCCTTCGGATAATAATAATAATAATAATAATAATAATAATAATAATAATAATAATAATAATAATAATAATAATGATATTAAAGGAAATGCATGAAAGCACATCTGTGGGTCTCATCTAAAAACTGGGGAAAACTGAACTTTGAGATCTTCCTTTTAGCCATTTCAAACTATACCACAGTGAACTCTTGCACCTGCCCTTTCTCTGTGCAGTCCGAACTCTTCACCTTGCCCAAATATCATACAATGAAGAGCTAAGTTTGCAGAGAGACATCAGTGAAAGAAATGTGGTGCACACAAATTTGCAGAGCCCAAAGACCACAGCACAGGTTCATTCTTCATATAATTTGAAGAAACAGAAAAAGATCTAAAGGCCATAAGCAATACAGAGCTCAGGTATAGTCCTGGTCATTAAAGTGTCAGCTGAAAGACAGCATCATCCTTCTCCAGCACAAGGGCAACCCAGAAAATACATTACACTACCAAATTAATGCAAAGGTTACATCTATGCCTAATAACCACTATTCATAGGGATCATTATGCAACAGGAAAGCAAACTGATGAACACACAACTAGGCCTGTCAATATCTGAGTAGTGTAACAAAAAAAAAAAAAAGACACTTTCTGACTCATGTTTGTAGGGCAGCAACAAAACACTTGCACTTGTCTCCACCAGCACCTCCTCACACACAGGACCCCCGAGACACTCCTGAAACCCGTGACAGATTACATTAATCTTCATCACCTGCAGATAAACTCTATCAAAAGAAAAGTTACACAGACAACTTCTCCTTACCTTAGACAATATTTGACTTTTCACCGTGTGTGTGTGATGAGCAAGAGCATTTCTTCACTGACATTTTAAGGAAAAAAGTGTCTGAAATTCTTTCTCTTGACAGCTGTAAATATGAAAGGCACTTACTGGACAGTTGGGCAAATGGAATGGATATGATCTTCCACACACCATCAGAGAAAATTCCTCACCTTTGGCTCATCACAGTGAGCAAGACAAGAGGTTAAAACAAGCATAATGAAAGAGATGATGCAATATATTCTTATTAAAGGCAGTTAGGCTAGATATATAAATCAGGTATTTAGTAAGGAAAGGATAATCTGTCATCTCTTCACAAAGGCCCCATTATGGTATTTGTCATAAGTCCATCACTATGCTGTTAGTGAAAAACAAACAAAAACTCCCCCCCCCAATTAAAACCCACAAAACCAAAACCAAAACCAAACAAACACAAACAAACGAAACCCAACAATACCCAAACCAGAACAGCAACCTACAGGCACACAGGACAAAATACCTGAAGCTCCCAATACAGCTGGAAAAACGTCTCCAAGAA